CACTCTAACTTCCGTCGCTCAAATGGAAACATTTCCTTCGTGAAAGTTGTTCATCTGCTCAAGAACTTCATTTGCTCATCTTGTAGTGATTTTTGAAGACAGAGTGCTTTTTACTTGAGAGGGATTCTAGCATTGCTTTGCTGCACCATCTTCAGGTTGGTAGTCTTCTCCACTACATTGGATGTTTTCCTTTTTGTTGAATTGTTGGAATGTTCATGTATTTTGTGAAGAACATAATGAACTGGTTGAGCTGTTCTTCATGCCCTGTGAGCTTCCTTACGTTTTGATCCTTCATGTAGTGATAGAGTTTGTTTCTGTTTGTTGTAGATGTCGGAGTCTGGAAGTCTAAGTGATGAGGGCTCCCCTAGCTCGGGCTTTAGGTTTGAGCCTTTGTTAGAGTCTTGTACAAAAGAAACGTTAGATGATCCTCACAATTGTCAAACCTTAGCCAATATTGGTTCTTCCTCCATGTTAGTGGGTGAGGGGGTTGTTTGTGACGCCATACCCATATGTCGTTCTGATCCTCACAATTGTCAAACCTTAGCCGAGATTGGTTCTTCCTCCATACGAGTTGGTGAGGGGGTTGTTTGTGATGCCATACCCATATTTCGCTCTGAGTTCACAGCGGACCATTTAGAAAATAACTTGTTAGATAACGAAAAGCAGCTTGAGGCCCTAAGGCAATCATGTAGTATCCCCCGTAGTGTAGGAATACGTTTGGTGCGTTGTGAAGAATTGCCTTCGGAGCCGCCCAAGGGTCATGTTATGTTCTATACCCAGACATTAGTGACCTTGGGGGTAAATTTACCTTTGCATCCGTGGTTGCAACGAATGCTGTCTTTTATTGGTTATGCATCTGGGCAACTCAACCCTGGTTTATGGGATACCTTGATCGGGTTTTATATTATTTGGATGGAGTGTGGATTAGGTGAGCCTTCCTTCCATCAGTGGCGCTACTGTTATAAGATGCGCCCGGTGAAAGCATGTACTGGTTACGCCAAATGTGCATGTCGGAGCGAGAGAGAGCGTGTTGTCTTTAATAAGAGAAAGGCGTACTGCACATGGAAGAAACGTTGGTGCTTTCTTTATAATGATTGGGAGCATGCTAAGGGTGTCACGCCTGAGCGACGTGTTCCTACTCACTTCCAGACTGTAGGTTATAATGTATCCATTTTCTCATTATTTGCTATTGTTGTGATTTGCTCTTGCTTCTAAGATTTTTCTTCATGCAGTGACACGAGGCACCATCAAACTCTCCGGACAGGAGCTAGCTGATGTAGAGAAAGTGTTGAGGGTGCCCAAAGAAGATAGACACTTGGGTAAGCTACGACCCTTGTTTCGAAAGTACGGTTTCCAGCCCTTAGTTTCCGAGTGCCAGAGACGAGCGAGTAAGTTGTATCCTTCACTTGATCCTTGTTCTTCCCTTTTTTTTTTTATATAGATATATAATGTGGTATTTCTTACTTTGATTTTCCTTGTTCAGTGGAGAAGGTGGGCAAGAAAGTGGAGACTAGCACCAAGAAAAGGAGAGTGCCCATGTTAGTTCCTTCAGAAGACATCATGTTTCACAAGGAAGCTCGCAAGCATCGATTGAGACCAATCATTAAAACTAAGTCTTGAGAAGAAGTCCTCAAGGTTTCTGCCTCGAAGAAAGCTGAAGTTGAGGCCATTGGATGTGCTGCTGCCATAGTTGCCGGGGAAGATAGGCGATTGCTGTCTCTTCTTCCTACTATTAATCCCATCTTTCCTCCAGTTAGGGAGCATATTGGGCAGGAAGGTGATCCTAGTTCTAGCAGCAAGGGTAAAGATAAGGAAGAGGTTGGCAGTGTCCCTTGGAAGGATTTGAAGGTTGCCATGCGGCCAAAGGACTTTGGGTATATCAACAATTGCCTAGCAGGGCGTCGATTCACTTTCGATGAGCTCGGAGAGCCCTTAGCTAAAGATGAATCGAATTGCGACCGGATGTTGAAGCTGTCTTCATATGTGAGTGTTACTTTGTCATTTCCTTGTTTTCTTCTCTTTATTAGCATTATTTTAGTAGTGATGATCGTCTTGTCATGCAGGTCATGGCTGAGTATCACGACAAACTGCGAGAGGCTGAACGGTGCAAGGTGAAATTGAAAGAGAATAAACAGCTCGTGAATGATGCCAGGAAGACGAGTAAAGCTTTGGCTGAGGCCATCCAAGTCAAGGATCAACATTTTGAGAGTTTGAAGAGGCGGAATGGTGAGAACTTGAGACTCAAGGTACAGTTGGAGGCGACTAAGAAACAGTTGGAGACAACTATGCTCGAGGTTTCCAAGGTTAAAGGGGAGTTGGATAGTGCCTTGGTTGAGGTTTCTGAGCTGAAAAGTAGGATCCCGACTGAGAAGGAAGCTGCTGTGAAGGAGTTCTTGGGTTCCCAGGCCTTTCTCCATGTCCTTAGACCTCGCTGTACCCGGGAAGTTCATTTTGAAAAAGAAAGTGGATGGCTGTCCTTGATCGTTATGATGATGGAAACGTTTTTCGAAAATACCGTGAAGAAATAGATGAACATCATCGAAAAGGTGAAACCTTCGACCTTGCAGTTTATTATAGCAGTGCAGATGAGTTTGGCGATGAGGCTAGTGCTGATGAGCAGAGTCATCAGGGTGATGATGAGTTTGGAGATGCAGAAAATGACGGTAGGACTCAGAGTGATATGATCAGGGGTTCAACCTCAGATGAGTATGACTAGACGTGCTTTCACTTTCTGCATGTACTCTACCTGCACTAGTTTGTTGTTTGTATGGCATGTGCCATGTTATAAGCTTGAGGGTTTTTTTTTTGTTTTTTGTTTTTTGTTTCGTATGTTTATGAGTGTTTGCATTATCAAGCTTCAAGTGTTTGTATTATCAAGTTTCAAGTGTTTGCCCTATCATTGATGAATGTTTGGCTATGTTTGCATAGATCCTTTATATAGTCTTGTTGACATATACTTAGATTTTATTTTGTATTGGAAACATGTGCGTTGAAGCTTCAACACTTGAGTGTTTCATTGCTCAGAATGTAAAAGAGTTTAGGGCCGAGTTGGCTAAATCACCTCTTTATTGAATTCATACCAAATGGTCTTTGTTACATAGGATGCCGAACGACTGTAGCTTAACACTTGTACAATGTGAGTCTATTTGTAATAGTACTTCAAGTGGTCAGCATTCCATGGATGGCCAAGGGTTTTTCCGTCAGAGCTTCTGAGCTTGTAGGAGCCAGGGCGGCTGATGCCGACGACCTCGAACGGTCCGTCCTAGTTAGGACTGAGTGTTCCTTCACTCGGGACTCTATCACAGAGTAATCTTTTCTTCAGTACCCAGTCTCCCGCTTTGAAAGAGCGATGTTTGACCCTTGAGTCGTAGTAGTTGGAGATGCGCTGCTTGTAGGCGACATTCCTCAGGTGAGCCTGATTTCTGTGTTCCTCGACTAGATACAGGTTGAGGGTGAGTTGCTTGTCGTTCTCACTCTGTATGTAGTTCTGGATTCGGTATGTTGCTTGCTCAAGCTCAACTAGAACAACTACTTCTGTACCAAAAGCAAGTGAGAATGGAGTTTCTCCTGTGGAAGTCCGATATGAAGTGCGGTATGACCAAAGAACTTGGGGTACGAATTCTGGCCAACAACCTTTAGCTTTGTCCAAGCTAGTTTTCAGAGTGCGCTTGATTATTTTGTTAACGGCCTCGACTTGTCTGTTAGACTGGGGATGGGCTGGAGAGGCAAAACATAAGTTGATGTTGAACTTAGAGCAGAACATCTTCAACTTCTTGTTGTCGAACTGCCGCCCATTGTCCGTGCCTATCGCATTGGGAATGCCGAATCTGCAGAAGATGTTCTTCCATACGAAGTCTTCTATTTTTCCCTCAGTAATGGTTGCCAAGGGTTCTACTTCAGCCCACTTTGTGAAGTAGTCAACTGCAACGATTGCATAGCGGACCTTGCCTTTCCCTGCAGGCATTGGGCCGATCAAATCAAGTCCCCATTGGGCGAAGGGCCAAGGGCTGATCATAGGAGTGAGCAGCTCGGGAGGGGAGTGAGGGATAGTTGCGTAGCGTTGACACTTATCACATGAGCGAGATATTCTGATGGCATCTTGGTGGAGTGTTGGCCAATAGTATCCTTGGCGAAAAGTCTTGTGTGCTAGGGATCGAGACCCAGCATGATCTCCGCAGACTCCTTCATGTATTTCCCGAAGGACAATTTCTGCCTCCGCAGGTGTAAGGCATCTTAGGTATGGCAGGGTGAAACCGCGCTTGTAGAGTTGGTCATTAATGATCAGGTAGCGGGCAGACTTGTATCGAATCTGCTTAGCTTGGACTTTGTCAATTGGGAGGGTGCTATGAGCAAGGAATTTATAAATTGGGGTGATCCAACTATCTTCTTGTTGTAAATTGCACACCTCCGCGACCATGGTGCTTGGTTCTGCCAACAATTCGACATGAATTTTTCTCCCAATCTTGTCTTCCACTGCCGAGGCGAGGCGAGCCAAAGCGTCTGCATGACTGTTTGCCGCTCGAGGAACTTGGGTGATCTGGGGTGTTTATTCCTTACTTTTGCAGTGTCCTCATATGCATTCCTTTTGCTTTCCTCTTTTCTGTTTTCTGAAATATTCTCCCAACGACATGATCTTTTTCCTTTTCTGTTCCTTTCTTTGATCTCTCCACCGCCAGACACACTCGCTTTTGCTTTTACTTTCCCTTTTCTTTCTCTTTTCCTTTTGCTTTGTCCGCCACTACCTTTCTCTTTCGGCCTGGTTTCTGCTGGGACCTTGTCCCCATCTCAATTCCAACCACAGCAGACCACTGGAATCTTAGATTGGACGAAGTAGAAGGGCAGGGTCGATCTTCACAGAAAAACGACATCGTTCGGCCGCGCCGAACAGAGGAGACGGGCCATGAGATTAACGGAGGCAAGATTTGGGGAGAATAAGAGAATAAGCAGATAAAGGGAGATGAAGTGTGGGTTGCAGAGAGGTGGATGTTCTTCAAGAAAAACTAGGCTGCCACAGCATCATTTGTCCCTTGGAACCATATAATGGGTTGCTTCCATTCTATGCAGTTGCTACAAAGAACATTGGTCTGTGCCGGCTTCTTAAAGTCATCACTTCTCATAACCAGTTGCCTTCCATTCTTGTTTGCACATTTATTAAGTCTCCAAAGATGCTTAATTTCTCTGATGGTGAAGGAAAAAATTGGAATAGGAAGTTGCCTTCCTACAAATCTGTGCTGACAAAACTGTTCCGGTGGAAGATTTCTTACCCTGGAAGCACCATTCAAGTCAAAGTGATGCTGAATAAACTTCCTGACTCTGAGACTCTCATCCCAAAACCCTCCTCCTTCGAACTTCTTTCCCATCTCCTCCACCGTCGCGCACGAGCTCGAATTTCGCTTACTCTTGCTCTGCGGCTCCGTCTCCAGCTCAAATCCGTCGCCGTTTTCAGACTTTGAATCCAAATTTCCAATCTGCATATAGAAATCGGGGCTCGTCGGAGGATCGACTTGTCGTAAGTTGAGCATCAACAGCCCCGTTCCAGCACACAACGCACAGACTATCAGAATTGATCCGACGGACACCTGCCTCCTTCGCCAAACGCCATAGCTCATCTTTTCCTCTATCTTTTTTCGTTTTGCATGTGTGTCGGTGAATGGATATGGATCTGGAAGCCACAAATCGCTCGCTTCGTTGTCGTCCAGCTCAACTGGAAGCCACAAATCGCTCTCTTGGTTGTGCGATTCCTGCAGGTGCAGCCCTCTAGTTTCTGCTTCTGCGGCTGCTGCTTATCTCCTTGGAAGGAGTGAGACTCAGTGAGTCAAGTTTTTGGGTTTTTACGGGATGGGGGTGTGAAATTGAGTTTGAAGACTGCAGCTGCTGGGATGGTGGAAGAGATGCCGCGTGAGCAGAGAGGGAGAGTCTGGGTGAAAATCTTTCGCCACAGTAGCAACACCCATCCATCCCGAGGCCACGAAGCAGCATGTAAGTTTCCTGTATGAGATTGAAAACCACAGCGGACCGGAGTGCTTTCAATGTTGTCAGTAACTTCAAATTGTTCCGGGACTGGTTGCGGTGGTTGAAACTGTGTTTGGCGAGCGATTTGGAATGCGGTGACCTTTCATGGCGGCAGAGATGGAGATGGATCGTCCGTTTGTGTAGAAATCAAGGACGCTGCCGCCGCCTTCTCCGCCGTTGAGGCCTCCTGATTGCACTTTTTTTTTCTGGGTTTCATGGCGAGCTCAAGAAGATAGGCCTCGCATGCAAAGACCAGGTTGAGCACTCCCTCGGACTTCAAGATCTCGTTTTTTAGCTTCGAGATCTCATAGTCGGTGAAGGACTTGTGGAAGTGAACGGTCTTAGACATAACATTGGCGACCTCGAAGGAAAGAATGCTGACGGTTTGTTTCTGAGTTTTGGCGGCAGCGGGTTGGGATTTGGGGACTGATGATTTCTTCGAAGGATGAAGAATAAGAGTTTGCTTGAGATTGAAGCTTACCTCGCTACCCATCTTCAAGATCTAAGACTCTGCAACCATTGCTGCAAAGATCCGAAGCTCAAAGCAACTGGGTCGGGCCACAACTCCGAGAGAAACCCGCTTTCATGCGTGAAATCTGGGTACCCTTTTGAGCTTGCGGGCTATGACGGTGATTGCAAGGTTCATGGCTTTCTTTGATACTCACCAGCTAAAAACCCAAAAATGAATTATCATCCATTTTTTTCTTTGACTCTGATTCTCTGAAACATTATTGCATATACTGGGTCAAGGTTGATGACTCAAATGATAGTGACCCAGTTGAAGAACATTAGAAAAACTGCAGAAAAAGGAAGAAAACTGAAAGCAAAAGCAAAAAACAGGTGTCCGAGTAGGACTCAGAGTTGATGGAATAAAAGGAGGACGCGGTTTTTTACGGGCGTGAGACTGTGTGTGTGTTCTGGGTTTGGCTTTGGATCTTGGGTTTTTTTGCAGATTCACGGTGGTGGTGAAAAATGAAAGAGAACCGACACAACTTTTGTATCGATTCCCACAGACAGCGCCAAATGTTGATGCACAAAATCAGCGAGGACTTTGGTACAACAGAAAGTGTCAGGTTTGTGACCTTCGCTTGGTTGCTTCGATCACTAGTGAAGATAAGTACGTAAATGAATAGGGACAGGGAAGCAAACACAAGATGTACGTGGTTCACCCAGATCGGCTACGTCCACGGAGTAGAGAAGTTCTCATTAATTGTGAAGGGTTTACACAAATACATAGGTTCAAGCTCTCATTTTGTGAGTTCTAGTGAATAGTTTGGTACAAAATGACATTAGAGATTATTGTGGGAGAATGATCCCTATTTATAGAAGAGAGTTTCTAGTTTTGTTCTAATATTGACACGTGTCGTGTTGTGATTGGCCTCTGATGTTGACACGTGTCGCGCTATGATTGGCTTCTGATGTCGACACGTGTCGCATTGTGATTGGCCTCCTGGTTGAAGGGAAACTCTTCTGGGTCCTTGACGGTATAACGTTGACTGGTGCTCAGTAGTTTCGGGATTAGTCAAGTATGGTACAAACAAGTGATTTCGAATACATCGATAATTATTTAATCTTGCGTTTGCTGCATTATTTTTCAATATGAACCCTAAAAGATGAATATGAATATATAAGTTTAAATAATGCAGCAAACGCAAGATTAAATAATTATCGATGTCATCGAAATCACTACAACAATGAAAAATGTGAAGTCTTACCTTATGTGAAGCTTCAAAAACATCGATTTCGTGTTTCATTCGTCAAAAACAATTTTTCTCAATCAACATGTTTGTAGTTTCATTGATTAGAGTTTTGTTCAACAATGGAGGATGAGAGGGTTTTGATAGTTGAGAAGATAAAGAATACGCTAAAAGTGATTTGGGGTGTATTTATAATTTTTTTTAAAAACCTAATATGGTCAAAATTGTCATTGCATAGTGGAGTAAATAAGTCATTTAATATTAAATTTTAATATGGGGTGCATTCAACATTTTATGGGGTGTTAATATAAAAAGCCTTACCTTTTCTATTATTTTGAATGATTAAGTTTAGGGTTTGTATGTTTTTTTTTTTTTAATATTTGTTTTATATGTTTTCTTTGTAAAGATTTAGACATAAAATGTAAAAAGGTGGTCATGTGCCAATCACATGACACTTTCTAACAGAAAATTGGATGGAGTTAAAGATACTTAACGGTAGGGGGTTAATTGGCCACTTTAACATAGTTTAGGGGGTCAATTGGCTGAAAAAATAGTTCAGGGGGGAAATTGAAACTCACGTGATAGTTTAGGGGGTTAAATGACAGTTTACTCTAATATAAAATCATATAAAATAATTAAAATAGTAATTTCTAAGAAAAACATCTTTCGGATTCGTAAACCCGTAAAGTTAATCCCTCAAATTTTACTCAATTATATCAATAGTCTTCTAGTACGACTCATCTTGACGAGATTTTGACGAAGTTGATAAAAAAGATTATAACTAACGTTTTGATGAGTTAAGGGATCGATGATCATAAATTTTTAGTTGATGAATCGTTACTCTAATTAGACTAAAGTTGATATCACATTCCTACAATTTTATCACTGTCTCAAAAGATGTATGAGATTGTAATTTCAAGCAAAACTAAGGGGTAAAACAATATACCCATAAGCTAAAGAAGAAAAAGTAATTGGCTTGCTTTGATGCGTTGATCTGTCCAAAGTGACTTAACAAAGTTGAAAAATCCCTATTTCTCACCTCTTTCTGTTGGAACCGGATACCCTAAGCATGGGACCAGAGCCAGTTGAGCAGCCCATCTGGACCCTTAAAATTTGATCCAACAATTATAAATAGAAAGCTTTTCTAAAAGTTAAAATAATTACAACCGTTAGATCAAATTTTAAAAGTCCAGATGAGCTGCTCAGCAAGCTTCAGTCCTTATGCTCATGAGGGGATCCGATTCCTTTCTGTTTCACCTAAACCGCCCAAACCACATATAAATTAAAGAAGAAAAAAATAATTGGCAGCTGTGCTTTGACGTAGAGAATGCTTTGAATGATGATATATTCTTCTCTATAAGAGGAACTTATAGGTGTACAACCCTAACATAAAAGGAAAGAAAACTAATTACAAGTGATTACATGGGATTACATATTAATTAGGGATCTTACCTAAGATACAAAAGTCAACACTCCCCCTCAAATTGGTGCATATATGTCGCTCATGCCCAACTTGTGTAAGAAACTTGAAAACTTGTGACTCGAAACAGCTTTTGTGAGGATATCTGCCAACTGATCTTCTGTTCTTATCGCCGGTACTTCAATTATTTTCCCTTCCAATTTTTCTTTGATGAAGAACCGATCAACTTCAACATACTTTGTTCTATCATGTTGTACCGGATTACGTGCAATGTCACGAGCAGCTTTATTATCACAAAATAATTTCATGGACTGATCATGTTGTATACCCAAATCACTTAACAGAAGCTTAAGCCACAAAATTTCACAAATCCCCAAAGCCATACCTCTGTATTATGCTTCTGCACTGGAACGGGCAACCACATTCTGTTTCTTACTTCTCCATGTAACCAAGTTACCCCCAACAAACGTAAAGTAACCTGATGTTGAGCGTCTATCATCAATGGAACCTGCCAAGTCTGCATCAGTATAACCTTCAACACTAAAGTGATTATTCTTCTTAAACAAAATTCCTTTGCCCGGACTTCCCTTCAAATATCGCAGTATTCTCGTCACGACATTCATATGTTGTTATCAGAGATCATGCATGTATTGACTCACTACACTCAAGGCATAAGCAAGGTCTGGTCTTGTGTGTGCCAAATACATCAAACGACCTACTAACCTTTGGTATCTTCCTTTGTCAATTGGTACTTGATTAGGATCAACACTAAGCTTCAATCCTTCTTTTAATGGTGTAGCTACTGGCTGACAAGCTGACATGCCAGTTTCGTGCAACAAATCAATAATATACTTCCTCTGAGACAAGAAAATTCCAGAACTGCTTCTCGACACCTCGATCCCTAAAAAATATTTCAAGGATCCAAGGTCCTTCATTTCAAATTCTGTAGACAGGTATCTTTGCAAGCCCGCACGTTCTTCCGGATCATTACCTGTTACCATCATATCGTCTACATACACAATAAGTGCAGTAAGCTTCCCATTCTGTCTTTTCAGGAACAAAGTATGATCAGAGTTACTTTGTCTGTAACCAAATGCTCTCATAGATTTTGTGAATCTTCTGAACCATGCTCGAGGGGACTGCTTCAAGTCATACAAGGATTTCTTCAACCTGCACACTTTGCTTTTGTATTTATCTGGAGCATTACATCCCGGTGGAAGATCCATATAAATCTCTTCTGTCAAGTCTCCATGCAAAAAGGCGTTCTTCACATCAAACTGTTGTAAGGGCCAATTAAGATTTGCAGCCAAGGACAACAAAACATGAATTGTGTTTATCTTGGCTACAAGTGCAAATGTATCTGTGTAATCGATTCCATATTTTTGAGTGTATCCTTTTGCTACCAATCTTGCCTTGAAATGATCCACCATCCCATCTGCTTTGTATTTCACAGCATAGACCCATTTGCATCCCACATGTT